AAAAAATAATATATATGTTTAATATTGGAAAAATCATGTTAAAACAGCTGATAAAGATTGCGTGGAAGTTTATTGAAGAAATAAAACAAAACGTATAATATTACGCAGGAGATAGGTAAAGACAAGGTAACAAAAGCACAAAAAAGTACGACGATGAGAGATAAAAAATTATTGACGAAATTGAGGTTACCAATACTAAAAAAAGGTGCAGATTGAAATAGATAAGGTTAAAAAAATGACAAAAATATTGCCTAAAATGAGAAATTATGTAAACCTATAAAATAAATTGCTCTGTATAGGGCTAAGAATCTCCGTTAGCCAGTGAAAGTAGGCTTTCAGGAAGATAAATAGAGAATCACATCGTCTAGCGTATTTACAATAGTGGTTGTAATCACACACATATATGTGCGTGTGTGTGTAACAATATACTAGAGAACGAAAATAAGTCCGGAATACTATATTCTATAGATATAATAGTAATATCATTCAATATATAAAAAAGTAGAATTTCTTGGAAAAATCATTTTGTTACAATCTGAAAGCAAAATGATCTAAATGTGGTCACGATGAATCGCAAAAATTGCATTTACAATTACACAAAAGGTAATTAAAAACAGGAAAATTGATATGTACATACTTTTAAAAAACATGTTCCGCCTATGTATATAATAAAATAGCTAAGAAATTACTGCCAAATTATAGGATTGTATAATTTTAAACGAGGATCAAATAACAAATTTGAGAAATTTTTTGAAGACAAACGTGAATGTTGTTAAATGTATATGATCTAGAAGACATTCTTCAATATATATTTTAATAAGTGATAAAAATATAAAAACGTAATGCTTGAATAAATACAAGAAAAAATGACCAAAAGAGGTATTTAAAAAAAAACAGATTTATAGCCAAAAATTATTAATTTGTTAAATTATATTTAATGATCTAGAGAAAACATTCTTCAATATATATTTTTAGAAGTGATACAAATATAAAAACGTGATGCTAGAAATACAAGGAAAAGTCAAAGGTATTTGAAAATTAAACAGATTTATATAGATGGCCAAAAATTATTAATTTGTTAAATTATTTAATAATAATTTACATAATCAGACATTTATAGTAATTTTTTAACTTGTAAATTGTTGGTCACTAGAAGTTATCTGGTGTTTTTTCGCTATCACTTTAAAATTCACCAATTTATTTAATCTGAATTGTGCAACACTTTTAAAAGTATTTATGATTTAACAATAATTTTTCAATGATTTTATTACGAGAAGTGAATTTATGGATTCAATATTTAAAACAAAGTGGAAGGCTATAAATGAAAATATTATTCTCCTATTATATAAAATAAATTACTTCTCAAAAAATGCGAACTTCAGCATAAGGAAACAATTTTTTTGTTAGGGGGCGTCCACTAATCACGTGAGCGAGTTTTTAAGGATTTTTGGATTCCCCCCTCCTCTTGATGATACATGGTTATATTCAAAATTACCTCCCCTCCCCCACCGAACATCAAGTGTATTTACAGTTACGTGATAAAACTGAAATAAAATTTTTGATTTTTTTTTGAAACAAATGATAATAGCAATAGAAGCCACTAGCAGTGCGGTAAAATATTGATTTATTTCATTTTAGTATTATTATGTTGGCATATTTTTAAAGATAATAGAATCAAATATACTTGGCATATATTTCCTCATGGGAAGGGAAACGAACAATGAGATCTGATTAAAAAACTGATCAAAAATACTTAATCGGTCATGACATGTTCTATTAGAACATACCTAAAATATAATAGATGTCATTTGAATGCACATTTGAATTAAATGTAACTCAACGCTCATAGCAAGATTTTAACAGGAGAATTGTTTGAGAATTCTAAAACATGTTGAAGAATTCTGAAATACTCAAAATTGATTAAAATATAATGCTTTACCAATTTCAGTATGATTATTTTGATTGATATTAATAATTTTAAAATATTGAAAGCATGTATTTAATCAATGAATATAAAACAGAGAATATGTATTTGAATTTTCAAAAACTTTTATTTAAATTGTGATACTGGAGTAGATACTGGAATCAAAAATTGAAAATTTCATTCTAGAAATAAACAGTAGAAACAGAAACATTCTTAGCGCATGTGTACAAACGTTCGTTAAATTTATAACACAAATTAAATTTAGTATTGTTTATTCAATAGTTTTAACTAACAGTCTCTAAAATTATTCAATAAAGGGAATAAAAAATAGGCAAAAATAATAATTAAGATTTAAAAATCTCATATTCGTAATAAAATATTATGTGCCTCAAATTGATAAAAATAATGTGCAGTACAGTAAAAACTACCTGCAATAAAAATAATTATTAAAAATCGAAATTATTTTTTAAATACATCCCCCCATTAGATATAAAAGCTATTAAATTAGGCATAAACATTTTCATTGAACATTCATATATGTAACCAGTAAAATTGGAAAGCTAAACCGAATAAGTAAAATTTTAGCTGGACAATATTTGAACAAGTAAAATCAATAGCTGAAACTCTTATTTGTTTCTTCCTAATAAAGAAATAATACAAGTCCGATATAAAACAATAAAGAGTAAATTTACATTAGCAATAATATAAAAAGTTGTTGTAAACTAATTGTAAGTTCAAATAGTACCTTCTCAAGTTTTAATATTTGTATTGCATAAATTCCTAATAAAAAGTGCAATAAAAAAGAAACATTTCGCAATAATTGTTTTCACATAGTATGTAGTTTTTGATAAAAAAAATATATATAAAAAAGACAATGCTTGAATTTTGATTGATTTGTGTTATTTAATTGACTCTATAAATTAAAAGTATACGAAAATCAAAACATAATTAAATTTTTAAAATTAAAACTAAGTTATCAAAAATAGAATAGTCATGTATTCTGATTGCTATTGAAAATAAAAATTAAAAAAAAAAAAAAAGTTATCAAAAAATTGTAGGATCGAAAAAAAACTTCAGGTAAACTCTCAAATAATTAATTATATAATTACAGCCCATTATAACTGATATAAATAAACTGGTAGAAAAAGCTACAATGATTATTGTAATAAATTGAGTTATTTAAGAATACATCATAGGTTTTTTCTCGTAAGCCATAAAAGTATTAAAAATATCAAAAAAGAATCATAACGGTTGGCAAAAATCACAGGAATTTGCTAACGACTACAGTGCAAATATTTAACAATAGGTATAGAATAATAGAATAAGCAAAAAATAAGAATGAGGAAATGTTATAAATAGAAAATAAGAATTTATGCAGAATTATGATAAAATTCCATTTTTCAAAATATTAAAAATAGAAATTATGCAGCAAATAGCGATGAACAAAATGTATGTTGTTATCAATTTGTAATAAAAGTAAGTATAGCGTAATGCAAAAACAAATTTTAAAAAATATATATTTATTCCCTTATTTTGCATTCAAATATGTGCTATTCAACAATTTCAACATTTTGAAGTTGTTAAAAATATAACGGTTCATTCTTGTGTTATTCGTCATGTATTTTTATATATTGATAACTGAAAGTGGAAATTGGCGGTGAAAGTCGTGCCATCATATACAGTTGTATATGAATTGTATCAAAAGTTTAACAGAGTTAAGTTAACAGAAACGAATTGTCCGCATTTTTATAACTTTCAAAGCCTGAGACCTATTGATCATATAAATGTATTTAAATTTTTGGCGATTTAGGCGTTTAAATATTGATAATTGTTTATAAAATTTGTAGGAAAATACGGTAAAATGGCATATATGGATAAAATGATAAAGTGGCTTTATTTAAAAATTGGCTTGTTTTATTAAGTTTTCGCGACTGTATAATATGAAAAAAGTTATAACAAATATCCGGTAAGATGTTCGGCGTCATTGTCACAGTCTTATACGTGTTAACAAAGTAACACAAAGACAAAGTTTATTTTAAGTATGCTAACGACGAAGAAATTTACAATATCTTTATATTATATCAAATTATTAAATGGAATTTAGTGATATAATAATAAATAATTACTTATTGTATGTAGCATTCGTACCTTATGTAATGTAAAGTCTAATGTATCTGTAAAAATTGTATTCAAGGGATAAAACCCTTAAGTCAAAAGCTTATATAAATAAAATTAACAAAAAGGTACTTATTGATAATCGTAATTCTTTCAATTAAAATCAATTAGCTTATGTCAGTTCTATCAGGTGTTTAATGGAATTATTTATATGTATTAAATACCGGACAAAATGACATACTTATACAATGGATAAAATGACATAGTACTATTTCGTAAACATTACAGGGCCAAAAAAAATTAAAATATGACAAAAGTGTTTGCTTTTAAATTCAACTCAGTATCAGATAAATAATTGCTAAAAACATATCAAAAGAACCACTGGTAAATCGAAGAGACTTGCATTTGTTGCAAAACCCTCTTTCCCGTTCTGAGTTTGGCAAAGATTAGATAAGTTACGAAAAATGACTTGTTCCCTTTGGGTTCATGACACATGTGCTTGTGCCCCAAAAAAGACGAAAGCATCTATTAGTGAACTATTTTATAAAAGATAAGCACCTCGGTATGTCCTTACCCTATATGCCATTTTGTCGGTACTATATGGACAAAATGGTTTTTGTAATAGATTGCATTTTCCTTATATATATATATATATATATATATATATATATATATATTAATATAGTTCCTATCCAATTAAAATACTATCTTACTAATAGTCAATGAACGAGAGAAAAGTTAAACTGATAATATCAATAAATAAATAAATGTCATTAAAAATGCAACACCATGTCATTTTGTACGTACTTCCCTATATTTAGGCTTAAAAAGCTAAGATATCAATTTTTAATTTGATGAGTATATTGTTGCTCGCGTATAAAAAATGCTATTTCATTCAGTTATACATATAGTTTAACGTTACTGAAAATTAAATTCCTAAAAATATATTTATATTTCATACCGTGATCGTTATCAATATTGTCGTTGCAATCCATTTCCAATGCAATCGAACAATCTTTTCCAGCCCATCCTTCAATGCACATGCAGCTGTATTCTCCATTGTTCAAGGTGCATTGGCCGTGTCTGCTGCAGGCATTTTCACATCCAGCTACAAATGAATTTCAATATTTAATAAAAAAAGTAATTAACTTAATCATAACAATTATTTTTTGGAAAAACATCAAAATATTTGGCCAAAACATCAAAACATAATTTGATATTTCAGTACATATTGTTTAGCTATTAAATTTTAAATTAAACTAAAGAAGTTTAGCCATAGTTAAACTAATAAATTTTAACATTTAATAAAATATTTAATTTAATTAACTTAATCATGATATTTATTTTTGGAAAAAAGGTCAAAACATTTGGGCAAGGCATCAAAACATATGATATTTCAGTACATATTGTTGACAAATTAAGTTTCAGCCATATTTTTAACTTTGATCAATAAAAATTGTGTAATATATGATGTAATACAATCACTTAACATATATAACATATTTTAGAGTGTAATACTCCAGGGTAAAAAACTAATTATGTAATACCCCAAGCTCAACAAACCCACAAAATGTAATTAACATAATTCTTTGAAATAATTTTTGAAATTAAATTTTTCAATAAAATATAATAAAAATTATTATAAAAAAAATCAAAATATAAATGTTTAATTAAAACAAATACATTTCTAATCTAAAATTTAAAATAATTTCAAATCTAAAATTTTAATTTAAAACTAAATCTGTTAAAAAATGATATTTCTAAAGCCGGCCACAACGTAACTGTGGGGTGTTTTTTGAGCAACTTGACAGACTGGTGCAAGCGAGTAGGCATAAGCACTTTTTGATTATTTTAATTGCGCAATCATTCAAGTCGGCAAGTTCATTCGTTGGCCGCGTGTGGCAGCACATATCCCGTTCTTATTTTACTTTGTAGCGAATTCTAAATACAAGTTTATGAAGTTATCGACAATTAAAAGTTATTAAATTAGCCCTCTGAACACTTTGAATTCTCTTCTGATGCTGTAAATATATAAATTAATAAAAATGATATATTTTTAGATTATGTCTTGACGTTTCTTAGTTGACATTTGTGATATGCTTGCGCAAATACTTGAACATAAAACTTGAGCCGTCTGTGGGCCACTGTGAAAATACGCCTGGTTGCGCATTCATTCAGTTGCGCATGCATACTGTTATGCATACCCCTGTGGCCGGCATAACAGATTTAGTTCTAAATAAAGGAATTTCTAACTTTAATTTATTCATATTCAGTTGAAAAAAAAATTGTTTGATCTTTCGATTTTTACGGGGAGTATATGAGAATCAACAGGGCATTGGTTTCGGATTTAAATAAAAACAAAAATGGTCATGACATTTCTATAGTTTTGTAATCAATAAATTTTAATACAAAATATATTATACGAATGGAAATTATCTTTTATAAATTGAAAATATCATTTACAGTATTGAAAAAATGTTAAACAAAAGCGTGATTTCAGTATCATTATGATGTTCACAAACAAATTATATTACATTGCAAGTATAGTTTCCCTCTAAATAAATAAAAATGAAGCAAATCATAAAAAAATTAAGCAATGAGTAAAATATAAACTTAAAAATCAATAATAAAAAATATATGATAATATTTGTTATTAAAATCATATTCAGTAGAAACAACTATGTCATTTTTTCACGTATATTCATAAATGAACAACTATACATAAATATGGCGAATTCAAAAGTGTTACCTGACGCGGCTTTTATTGTAAAAAAAACTATCAGTGGCAAAGGTTTAAGAAATATTAGTATTTGAATAACAAGTTTAATAAAAAATAATAAGTTTTTCTAGAAAATCAAATGTTATATAGAAGATAATATGTACATGTCATAAATTGTAGCAAAACAATAAAAAATGCAGGTAAAAGTTTTCTTAGAAAAAATGGTCATAAATTTAAAAAAAAAACGAGAAAGCTTATAAGGAAGTTGCATATGATAACAGCAATAATTGAATTCTATAATTGGGAATAACATGGTCTCTATATAGTTTCAACTTTTATAAAAATTGATTGAACTAGTGAAAAGCGTAGAAATAACAATTTTGGTAATATTAGTTATTTCATCACTTTTAGGTTTCTTGCTTTTGATATAAGTATATTTCAATTTATAGAGATACACAAATAGTTTAAAAACCACTAACGCAAGACACACTATAATAAACAAAAAACTAAGCAAAAAGAGTACATATATAAAAAACCTTTTTTGGAATGATGATTTGTAATAGACAAATAAAAAATATGAACAAATATATAGGGGAACATACACAAAAAATTAGATTTTAATGCAAGGTCCAAAAGATAACACATTCAATAAACTACTGACATATATTTTGAAATATAAGCCAATCAAAATTAAACAAACATTATCAAGCAAAATATGTGGTTAAATATAGAAAATTTGACGATAGCTATTGCATTTTCTCTTCTTATAAGGAAAACATACAATGTTCAAAAACAAATAAAATGTTCTCCTTCAAATATTTTTATATTATAATATTATAAAAATAAGATTATTATAAATTTATTAAAAAACTAACTAAAATGTTCTTAAATATTCGAATAAGATTCTTATAAAATCATTGTTACAAAAAAGTCATTACAACATTCCACAACCATTCAAATCGATTTTCATGTTTTATATTAATTGTATATTTAGTTATATATTAGTTATATTATATTTTCAAAGTGCAAAGCGTTTTATTAAAAACTAAAATTTGCATATTATGGGTATAAATATTAAAGTTTATTTCATCATCAAAAAACAAAAAATCGTGTAAATTTATTCATTCCTACACTTTTGTATTCAGCATTTAAATTAATAACCTTGAATTACCATATCAAATTTTTCCAAAGTGCCATATTATATCATTCTTTATTAATACAACTGTTATTGAGTATTCAATAACAATATATAACAGATTAGAACTTTTTGAAAAAATATGGAAAAATAATCAAAAAAAAGCTAAAAATTTGATCTGAAAGCTAAAGCATTGCATTTATTGTTTGAAGCGGATGAATAGTTGCATCCGATACACACAATACAATATAATGGAATCGTACAATGTTATTTTTTTTTTTTAATGTGATCGAGTATTAAAATTAAAAGCAGTTACAAAAAGGCCATATTTTCAATAACTGCAATTTACCATCAGACAGACACAGTGTTTACATTTCCATGCAAAATAGATTATTAATACATCAAACTATTATTTTAAAAAATGGGAATATATTATTATAAAAAAATCAATTCACTGTCATTCAAATCGATTCTTCATTTGTTATATTAGCATTTGCTTTATTTATTACAGTTGAATAATCATTAGAATAAAAATATTGTATTCTTCCAAAATGCAAAGCGACATTGAGTAATCCAAAAGTCGTGTATTATTGGTATATCTGTTACTGAATTTATTTCATAACGAAATCTAATAATTCAATAATCGTAAAAATATGTTCATTTCCACCCTTTTGCAAAATTTAAATTAATAAACTTGAATTAAAATATAATCTTCCAAATTGCTATTTAATATTCTTTCATAGCTTGATGCTGCTCATTGAATAAACTTAAATTTCATATTATATATATTAATATATCTTTTATTGAGTATTCATTCGAGCCATTTTGTAAATTTTTTTATAAAAAATGTGGAACATTTGAGTTAAAATTGTTCAAGAAAAAAATAATCTAAAAAACTAATTCAAAAGTAGAACTTCAAGATATTGCATTTGTTGTCGCATGGGTTGCTGCCTTTTATTGACATACACAATACAATGTAATGCAATTATTTTTTTTAATATTATCGAGTATTGATAATAAAAAAAACTGAAGAAGTTACAAAGAATTGATCCATACACAAATATATGCAATTTGCCTGCAGACACAGTATTATATATCAATTATATTATATACATATTGAAAACAGATTCTCATAAATTTAATATTGTAAAAAATATTTTTACAACATTCCAACTTCATCAAAATTCGAGTGGATTCTTCATTTTTAATATCTATGATATAGCAATGAGTAGAATAAAATGATAAAGGTCGCTCAAAATTCAATAATCTAAAAGTGTTATGTTAAAGATAGAAATTTCATTTCATAACAATCGTAAAACTATTCATTCCGAACTCTTTTGTGTACAACATTTAAATGAATAAATATGAATTAACGGATAAAATATAAGTCACATTTTTTCTACGCAGGCGTCGTATTCTCTATTAAAAATTAAGCAAAAATTGTGATCCAATTATTCAAAAAAAAAAAATTAATTGGAAAATCTGTATTTGAGGCATATGATAGTTATATCCATATTTAAATTAAAACCGGAAAGACTGTACAATAAAAACTATCTGCGATTTGCCAGAAGGCACAGTATTTTATATCTGAGCAAAAATATTAAGATTCATCTAAAAATTTTAAATTTTATTTCTTCAAAAAAATTGATATTGAAGAAGTGTCATTCAAATTAAGAAAAATTTGAATTGCTAATTTGATATAAAATAAAATTAGAACTAGAAGCAAGGTTAGAACAAAGAGAAGAATAAACATGTCAGTAGTAAACAAAAATTTGATAGTATAGGTTATATAAAAATTTTAAATTCCATTTCTTCAAAAAAATTGATATTGAAAAAGTGTCATTCAAATTAAGAAAAATTTGAATTGCTAATTTGATATAAAATAGAATTAGAACTAGAAGCAAGGTTAGAACAAAAAGAAGAATAAACATGCCAGTAGTAAACAAAAATTTGATAGTATAGGTTATATAAAATTTTTAAATTCCATATCTTCAAAAAAATTGATATTGAAAAAGTGTCATTCAAATTAAGAAAAATTTGAATTGCTAATTTGATATAAAATAGAATTAGAACTAGAAGCAAGGTTAGAACAAAAAGAAGAATAAACATGTTAGTAGTAAACAAAAATTTGATAGTATAGGTTATACAAAAATTTTAAATTCCATTTTTTCAAAAAAATTGATAGTGAAAAAGTGTCATTCAAATTAAGAAAACTTTGAATTGCTAATTTGATATAAAATAGAATTAGATGTAGTAGCATTTAAACAAATATTTAAAACATATTTTAAAGTTAAAATTTTAACTTTATTAATAGTAATGTTGTATATTTATTTGTGCAATATGGAACAAAATCGAAAAGTATGTGGATAAAAATCACCCCAAAAAAAGATATATCAGAATTGTTTGACGAAACACGCCTAACTTGTTTTGGCAATACTATAATAGACTGAGAAGAAAAAAGAATGGCCATTGGATAGTTTTTTCAAACGCAAAAACTGGTATAATGATAATAACTGGTATAATGATAACATATTTTAAAGTTAAAATTTTAACTTTATTAATAGTAATGTTATATATTTATTTGTGCAATATGGAACAAAGTCGAAAAATATGTGGATAAAAATCACGCCGAAAAGGATATATTAGAATTGTTTGACGAAACATGCCTAACTTGTTTTGGCAATACTATAATAGATTAAGAAAAAAAAATAATGGCCATTGAATAGTTTTTTTAAACGCAAAAACTGGTATAATGATAATTTAGTCATTTTTAATTCAGCAATTTGCTATGTTTAGGCAGAATATGTATTTGGTTTTAGCAATCAAGTCTCTAGTTTTGTTGTCAGCAAACACTGTGTTGGATTTTATTGCGCATCAATTTGATCTTAGCAATAAAGTTGCATTTATTCTTATTATCAAAAAACACTGTGCTGGATAGAATTGATTGCATTTCAATGTATTCATATAGAAAAAAATGCTTCGAGATATGAAAATTTCGACATACGAGCGTGGTTACGGAACGAATTAAGCTCTAAACGAGTGTATATAGCATAGTAAAGATAGTACAAGATATAGTAAAAGCTAGTAAAAAATATAAGAAAAATTTTTAGAGGTAGCTAAATGCCCCCTAAGTAAGCGAGGCCAATAAAAATCATTAAAGAAAAACTTACGTAGTGTGCAATGACGTCCATTCCATCCTTGAGAGCAAACGCAGGTTCCATTCTTACATTGACCATGCTCCGAGCATCGGTCATCGCAAGGTAGGAGGTCACATAAAGGACCTGCCCAACCTTGAACGCAGTTGCAACGACCTTGCTCACATGTACCATGAGGACCACAGTCAAGACTGCATATGGCTAAAAACAACACACGATTTATTAAAATTTAGTTGAAAGTTCATATCATATTATATATAGCATCTAATGCACCTATTTTTAGGTACGGAAATCAGCATGACGACGCTTTAAAAAGACTCATTCCATTTTTATCTATTAAAAACGCCATTTGTTAAAAACGCCAAAGCTTACAATGCGACAAAAAAAAAAGAAAATTTTTACAATTATGTGCATTATAAATAAATATAATTTGTTTTTATTCGTTAGTCGAAAATAATAGACAAATAGACAGATTGTAAAAGTCTCTAATAACAGCATGTTACTTAAAATCATGACTTTAAATCATTCAAAAAAAACGAAATAAATAAATTAAAAAAATCAAATTATACAAAATTAAATGAAACAAAAAAAACTAAAATACATATAAAAGATTAAAATGCATCAAGAGCAAGGCATTTGACAAAAAAATATTAACATTATATCTTTTATGAAATTAGTCTAATATGCATATTTTTTAACTTCCCGTAGGGTAAGTTATTGCAATGGGCCGAAAATCGGAATAGAAAATTTTTACATTTCTCGACGTTTTGAAGGTTTCTGAACGTTTTGGCATACCTCAGAAAAAATGGATGTGTGTGTGTGTGTGTGTGTATGTATGTATGGATACAAATTTCCAGTCACGTTTTAGGGCGCACGGATCAACCGATTTGAATGGTTCAAAAAACATTCGATTCCTATTGATAGGGATTTGAATGATCTAAAAAACATTCAATTAGTGATGATTGGGAGAAGTGTTTATTAGTTTTTGGCAAAGGCAGGCCCAGCCATTTCGAAGATACGGAGCTAAATATGTAAAAAATTGCAGTTTTTGAGAGAACTAAGCGTCCGATTTAAATGATTCAAAGAACTTTCTGCTTGTCTTAACAAAATAATTGATTTTTGAAAAAAAAATTTGTTCATTTTTTTTTTTTAGTTTTTTGTATATCGAAAATATTTCAGATTTTATTTTTAATTCTGACTATAGTTCTAATTCTACCTCTGCAATTCAGTTTATATAATTCTTATAAATATTAGACAATGTTACAATATTTATAATAATCTATTTGAAAACATTCAGTATTCCTCGAACATTTCGTTACGGTACGGGAAGTTCCAGCAATTTGCCTTAAGGCACAATGCCATAATTGCCTCAAGACAGAATTCCACTTACAGCTAGTTTAAGATATGATTGACACTTTTTGTTTTAGTGACAAATATATTTTTCCTTTTACTAAAGAAGCCTCCTTCGAATAAACAGTTTTAATAATTACCGACGTGTGGTAGATTTACTGTGCATTTATGATAAGGTTTGAATAAAAATTACATGAGTAGCTAAAAACAACACACGTTTTATTAAAATTTAGTTGAAAGTTCATATCATATTATATATAGCAACTAATGCACCTATTTTTAGGCACGGAAATCAGTATGACAACGCTTTAAAAAGACATTCCATTTTTTTTATTAAAAACGCCATTTGATTACAATCAAATGTGAAAATGATATGTTGTATTACACCTTTAAAAAGTTTTTTGTAACCACAAATGTTCCCATTAACGTTAACAACAAAGCTGCTGAACGGTTTATGACACTAAAAATTGGATTTAATCACAAAACGTACAATAATATGATCTTAATTGCCTTTCAAATCACTGTAAAATTATTCTACTCAACAAACAATTCAAATACTTTATATTGCAAAATCGTGAAATTGTTTAAAGAGCTTGTTTTTAATTAAGAAAAAAACTTCTGACACTAAAACTCACTCATTTATTCTACTATCTTTTCTTATTATACATTATTACCAAAATATAATATTTTTAAAATATTGTTATTTAATGCAATTAAAATAAACGCGGTTCTAGTAAATGTAATATAGTGTTTTATTAATTGGAAAGAATCTTTAGCAATAAATAATAATGCTAATGTAAGCCTGAAATACTTGGAAGAGATTAAAAAATATTTATTCAATTACAAATATATTATTAGTAAATGTGATTCGTAAATAAAAAGTTGCTTGACTTGGAAAAGTCAAGCAATATATCGAAGATTACAACTTTAAAAAATAATTTTACCATTATTCACTGACGCTAGAAAACATAGGAAATACAACAGTAATTTATTGTTGTCTAATACGACAAAATAAAATATGCAACAGTAATTTATTGTTGACAAAATGGTTTTTGTTTGCATAAATTGAAAATATGGAAATGAAATGAATGAAAATGACAAAATAGAAAAAAAGTTCTAAAATAGCTTCATTATATAGCCAAAATATTGCATCAATTTTAAAATTATATTTAAAATCAAATAAATCATTACGAAGACATCTCAAATTTATATCGAAAATTACAACTAAATAAGATGTCTGATTTGAGGTTTCAAAATTTTCCTAATCAATAGTAAATAAATGATAGCTATCTTTTTCCTCAAATAGTAAGATTTTTTTTACTTTCATGATACCAGAACGTAAACTTAGTGCTCGAAAAAAAAATTAGTAAAAATTAATACGTATTCCTTGCAGTCTAAATAAAAGATATCTAAAGAAAAGAGAATACAAACAAATATTTTAAAAAGTATGTTATTAAAAAAATACTTGTGACAATAAAGTAATATGAATTATTAGAAGATGAACATGATGAACGTATTTCAGATCCGCATAAAATAAATAATTTTCGCAAATGAGGATAACACAAGTCATTGGATAAATAATTTAAAATTGCTGAATTGTTATACAAATATCGATACATACAGAATAATAACCATTTAATATTTATTTTCACAAACGTTTCAAATTGTTATAACAAAAATCATACTTGTCAATATTAAGGAAAATGGTGAACATCAATATATATGTATAATAAAAACCACAAATGCTAAGTAAAATATTGATTAAAATTTTCGGGTGCTATGATGAAAAAGGTGATAATTGTAGAAACATATTTAAAAAAAAAAGAATTTTTTACACACAAAAATTTCATTAGAACAAAAATTTCATTAGCAATTTTACAAAATTTTGATACATTTTCATAATTACTATTGTATGTATTATTTAAAAATATTATTATTAAAAGAATTGGAAAAACAAATTAAAATTTTCCCTTCCTCTGATAAAAAAATCAATATATATGTAATAATGTTACTTATATATAAATTTTAATTATATTTAGTCATCGAAAAGAAGACATTGACATCTAGATTTTTATAACTCATCATATTTTAAATAAATTTTAAATACAATTATTTTTATTTTATTACAATTTATTTTTACGATCGCGACGGCAGTAAAACAATTTGGAGATAGTGAATAATTTATAAAAATATGTAATATCAGTAAATAACTTTACTAAAAAATATTCTAAAAATAAACGATAGTTAAATTATATATATATCAAAATAAATTATTTAAAAATGTTAATATGTTAAGCATTTGATAATTGTGAAAAAATCATTGTTTTCAAAATAGGGCAAGGCTTGCGCAATAAAATGCAAATAAGTTTTTATGATCGAATAAAGTATAGTTTTTGTACAACTAATATTCTGTTATATATATAAACAGTGCAAATATTTATTCTATTACGAGAAATTGAAAATAGCTAAGATATAAAAAGATGTGATGTAGAAAAAAAATGCCTGAAGACGTTATCACCACTGCTTTTATATTTAGCAGTAAATAAATAAATAAATAATGGGCAGTATTGCCCTAGGATAGTTCTGTGAGCTGAGTTCAACTCCAACGCGATTCATGGAAGATATTGTGAGATATTTCCAATTGCCATTTCACACCGCAGTGCCCGAAATGAGTTATTTTCAATTGAAGAGATATTTTTGATTATAGTATTTGATCATAGTTTGTATAGAATGCTAATCAATACCCTCATATTAAAGAAATAAAATATTAAATATTACTTAATTTATCACGATGTCAAAATTGGAGCAAAACTGTCGCCAACACGTAAAACATTATACAAACAAGTGTCCAAAAGGAGACTCATAATTATAAAATATCATATAACATACAACGGTTATATAATATTTAAAATATAATTTTTAGGTCATCCACATTTATTACGTATTTTAAATGTAGTATGTTAATTGTGCAACATTGTATTGGTAAAAGATTGCTTGAAATTAAAAGTTCCACGCAAACTAGGAAAGCTGAGATCATAATGGAAAACTATGTCAGTAAATTTATCAATGTGTTTATTGAACAAAATTAAGTATAGGATATATAAGTATTTATCAAATCATTCAGAAATATTTTGCTCATTTTAGAAAATTCAGGAAAAAATAAAATTTCTAAATAACTTTAACAACTATAATTATTAAACTAAAACAATATGTTTTAAAAATTTTTAGTTATAATCCACTAAAGTCAAAATTAAATTTTATTTTGATTGATTGGAGACGTAATTAAAAAAAGCATTATAAAATACGGTTCTTAATATGCATATTCTTTTTATTTTATTTTTTTTTTAATAATTTTTACAGTTAAAATAAGTTAATAGGGATAATATGAGCAATTTTTTACAATAAAATCTTATTTTCAAGACACAGTTAAGTAACTGTATATGATGAAATTATATATTGAAATTATGCAAAACAACAGAGCTTTATATTTAAAAAACTGATATGAAAAATTGGTCTAAAGGAATTGAAGTAAAATAAATAGACCATAAAAATACGGTCAAATGAACTAAATGATATTAAATAGCCAGTAAAAGTTAATAAATCAAGTAAAAATTATCAATTTCTTTATTAAACTAAAACAACTGTTAACTATTGAATTTTGATCATAATCCATCAAAGTACAAAAATTTATTTTGATTAATTGGAGATCAACAAAGCATTATACAATATGACCAAGGACTAAGAGAATTGGAGTAAATATAAATATACTATACATTTTAACCATCGGTAAAATTTCTAAAAACTTACAAAAATTTAATTGTGTTGCTGAATGAAAAACTTGTAGCTTTTTCTTATTAATCAAAATTACACAAAAGCTTACAATGCGATAAAGAAAAAGATTTTTTTTAAAATCATGTGCATTATAAATAAATATAATTTGTTTTTATTCGTTAGTCGAAAATAATAGACAAATAGACAGGTTGTAATTGAAACGAGTCTTTACTAGCAGCATGTTACTTAAAATCACGAAAAAAACTTATTCAAAAAAAATCGAAATAAATAAATTTAAAAAGTCAAACCATCCATCCATTTTTGAAATCACAATTTTAAAAATTAAATTAAACTAAAAAACTTAAAAAACATATAACATATTGAAATGCATCAAGAGCAAGGCAATTGACAAAAAAATATTAAATATCTTTTTTGAAATTAGTCTAATATATTTTTTTAAATACTGAGACTTTTTGTTTTAATGACAAATATATTTTTCCTTTTAGTAAAGAAGCCTCCTTCGAATAAGCAGTTTTAATAATTACCGATGTGTGGAAAATTTACTGTGCATTTATAATAAGATTTGAATAAAAATTACATATGTAATATGCAAAGATCGAGGTTTTCGCAATGTTGTTTCATTGAACATTATATTAGATTACATATCAGGTATGAAAAAGAACTTATATATTAAAATACGTGATTTATTTTAGAACAATATGTCTAACAATGAAGAAAAATATTGCCCTGCAGTACTAAATTGTAATGTAATGTCAATAATTATGATCGTAATGTCAGTTAGAGCATCAAATGTGTTTGCTATATCAAAAAATCCATTTAAGAAGGTAAATTATAAGAAAGTTAATATCAAATATGGAAACAAAAAAAAAATGTCAATGAGAGCTATGAAAAATCAGATAGAACAAAATCCCACTTGTTCGACGCAAATAGTTGACAAAAAAATCAGTTATATTTTTAGTTGTGATTCTATTTTTATAATATATGTATATTAAGTATAAGCACTTGTTTGTTTACTCTAAGAGTTCTTGTAAAAGCATATTTGTGATTGAGTTAGGATGTATTTTGTACAATGTACTTTGTTAGCATTTCTTATCTTGAGACCATATTTACTATATTATATATTTAATTTATAATAAATCAAGATATAATTAGATAAAATGACTCAAGATAGAACACTTCTGCAATATAACCAAGCCATTTACTAAACTTTGAAAAAAAAAAAAAACTTTCAGGAATGAATTTGAAAAGCATTTATAAAAAAATTGAGATAAAAGATTTAGACCAATTTGTGATTGTAAAAATAAATATATGCATAATAGAACAAATAATGAATTTTAGTTGCAATTAGTAGATTTCTTTATCAAAATTTAATGTGTAACAGATATAAGAAATATATATTATATTACATTATATTATATTATATTATAATGAAAGTATAGAATTAAAATTAAGGTAAAAAAGCAGTCGATATATTTATCTATAAAGGCATTATTTATAATTTTTTGCAATTCTTATGTAGTTTGCATTGTTGCATTGTTGTGCTTTTATTTTACAACAAAAATTATTGCGTGAGGAAATTAGAAAAACTAATGACAAAACTGCATAATATATTGAACTAGATAAAACAAGTGAAACAAATAACATTTAAAAATTCGAGCCTCATATGCTCAAGTTTATTTAATGCATTTCGAGTGAATTCAATTAGATGAAAAATTACATTCAAAACTCACAATTTAAAATACATTTAAAAATGCTTTGTTAATGTAACCAAGTGATAACGATATATTTAATTGATTGAGACAAATGGCTCATCATTTACAACAAAAGCTAATAATTAATTAATATTAATTATCAGTTAATACTGATAAAAAATGCATCCGTCTAAGAATTTATATCATCTATACAGTTTTAGCTATAGACAAAATAACAAAAGTGGCTAACAACTAACCTTGAGAGCAATCTGCCCCAGTCCAATGTCTGTCGCAAACACATTGACCACTTTCCAAATCATAAACCCCATGTTCGGAGCAACCTGGCAAGCACTGATAAACTTGTTCATCGACGTTTCCGCAATCTGGACCTTGCCATCCAGCTTTGCAGTAACATTGACCAGCGACACATGTTCCATGATTTGAACAAGTTGGATCCAAACAATCTTCTACAAATGCAATATTAAACATATTAGAGAAAAACCAAAGCAAATATACGAAATCTCAATAAAAGATCCTAAGAATCATTTTTTACTCCAATGTTGGTTTTTACTTATTTATTTATGGCTAAAAAAACTATGAAAACATTTTTCAGCATCTACCGTGCCCAATAATAGTATATACGGTTATAAATGTTTATAGTTTTAAGTCTGCTAAATCCGACCATTGATTGTTTAAATTCTTAATTTCATTTAAATCTGAGATTTAAATTTTTCTATAAAGTATTATTTAAAAGCCAAGTAAACAAATTTTCAAAACATAAGTTAGTGAAATAAAATGGTAAGGCTTCCAAGTCGTACACTGGCAATATATTAAATTATCGTTCATCATCTGGTACCGTTATACAGAACTATTCAAATGTTTACACCCTTAATAATTATGCGATTCTAAAAATTGTTTCTTTAAATTTTTATTATTTATATTACTTAGTAGACAACAGTTTAGTCATGAATAATTATTAGACTTTATATAGGTAATTGTCATTAGTTTTATTTTCAAACTTTTTACAGAGTTAACAAAAATCTTATTTTTGCGGGAAAAGGCCATAGGTGGCACGACTACGGTGACAACGCAAAAAAAATACATATTTAAAAAAAAGTAGAAAGTGCTAATCACAATTCAACTGAATCAAATGCACTAAATATTACCACATTATTTCCTCAGAGTACGACTTGCAACACTACCCTAATTGTAAAATATAATAGATTATATATAAATAAAAGTACTCGTTGAAGAAAGACATGAAAAACCAGCTCTTAGTCTTTCATATCAATCAATTTATATTCTGACTATCGATAAAAAGTATAATGAAAAAAAAGATTCTACATAAAAGTAGCGAAAAATTGTACATATTATTTAAAATACAATTACAATAATCAAATGACGATAATTAAAACTTGAAATTCACCTAATTCACAACGTGCTCCTTTCCATCCTCGTTCACAGGTGCATTCGCCTTGTTTGCAACGACCATGTCCAGAACAAGTCGGGTCTTCACAATCATGTTTTGGCACATCACATTCAGCACCTTTCCAACCTTCTTCACAATGGCAAATACCACCTCCGTATTGTCCATGAGAAGAACATAATACAGGACAAACACCTGAATAAAATGATAGATGTTTCATTATAAAAATATAAATATAATAAATAAGTTGACTTAGTCAATAACACTTTTGCTACAAATGTCGTCCATGGACTACATCCCCCCATAACCTGCTGTGTGTACGAATGTCGTCCATGATTTATCACCGAGTTAAACTATTAAAAATTCTCGTCTTCTATTGTAATTTCTAGTTCGCAGTTAATATTTTTTAACTTTCTTATATCATACAATATATCGTTCTGGGCACGCTGTTTCGTACAGCAGCGGCACTTCTGCAGAAAACACTCTCGTAGCAAAAGGAATAATATAAAAATATTTTAACACGTGTTTTATATTGCTAATTTGAGAACTAAAATATTTTGTTAAATACAATAACAAACAATGCATGCAAAAAATGACGAGTATTTAGTGCTTCCGAGATGACAGATACTGATTAATTAAAAAATGCAACTCCAAAGTACTTCAGTGCTATTAGATACATAACTCAATCTTGGAAGTCACTCACAACAAAAATAGCAGAATATATGAAAAACAAATGATTATTTACAGAGTTAATAAAAAATCGAAGGCAATTTCAACATTGAATTGTTATATGAATAGTTCGAGACATTATTCAGTGAATAGCTCAATGTAAATTAATTAATATTTGTATATAATGCCATATCGCACTATTATACTATTATCGAATCTTAGAACAATATAATCATAATATCATATAATCCATATGCTAACAAAGCTAGTGCAATATAAAAATCTATTTAAAATTTACAACATAGAAAAAAATATTGAAGACGATACGATAATTCGAGAAATGAAATAATTAATAGCTAATTAAGAAGTCAATGCAAATTAATAAAGTCAAAAACAAAATTATATTATCAGGTCAAAAATAATTGTCGAAAATAAGTAGATAAAAAATAAAATGAATTTGTGATAAAAATAAGTATTAATTGTTCAAAATAGAAAAAGTATATTATAATTAATATACTATTAAAATATTAAAAGACATTGTTTTAAATGCTTAGAAATACAGCTAAAGCTTATTTAACTGATTACTGAATGCCATTTGGCGATCAAAAATGAAAATACAATATTTAAATATATACATAAAAATAGAATTATAGATATAGTATACAAAAAATTGTTTCTGAATATGCGTATGAAAGACAATTATTATTATTATAGTTACGGTTTTGTGCTTAAAATTTACTATTATTATTGATTGTTGTTCGAGATACAAAGAGTAAAAATAAAAAAAGCTTTTATGTAACTGAAATTTAAAAATGCATCTAACTGAAGATTTTTTATACTAGAATTATAAATGTTGTAAAAATAATAAAAAATAATTCTAAATATTCTTTTGCGTGCTAATTTCTAATTATAGTTACGTGTTTGTAATCAAAATAACGGTTATGAATAGTAAACGCAAAGTCGTCATAATTGATCAATTCTAGATAACAAAATTTATACGAAAGGCCATCTCTTCTAAATTTAAGTGGCATCTAAAACTGATTGTCGATTTGTAAACATTAATATTGTAAGATTACTTGAATCGTTCAAAATTCAATGAATTTAATATATAACCGAACGGCCAAATTTCTGAAATCTTATTATAAGTAATATGTAAATTGTTGAAATTATTTCTCTACCTTGTCATTAGAAAATAAATTTTATAGAAAAGGCTAACTTCTAGTGTAATAGTGGCTAAAATATATGTTGTCGATTTGTGAAAATTGGAAATTACAATAAATTACTTAAATTGTTTAAAATTCAATGAATTTAAGATATAACTGAACGGCCAAATTTCCGAAATCTTATTAAATGTAATATTTAGAGATAGTTGAAATTATTCCTTTACTGCATCATTAAACAAAATAAATTTTATAGAAAAGGCAAACTTCTAGTGTAATGGCTAAAATATATCTAGTGGACTTGTGGTAATTGAAATTTACGATAAATTACTTCAATCGTTCAAAATTCAATGAATTTAATATATAAGCGACTGGCAAAAATTCCGAAATATTAAAAATAATATGTAGACGGTTGAAATTATTCCTTTACTTCGTCATTAAAAATAAATTTTATCGAAAAAGCTAACTTCATGTGTAATAGCTAAAATATATCTAGTAAATTTGTGATAATTAAAAATTACGATATATTACTTTAAGTATTCAAAATTCAATGAATTTATATAACCGACTGGCCAAATTTCCGAAATTTCAAAAGTAATATGTAGACGGTTGTAATTATTCCTTTATTTCGTCATTAAAAATAATTTTTATCGATAAATCCAACTTCAACTGTAATGGCTAAAATATATCTAGGCGATTTGTGATAATTGAAAATTACAATATATCACTTTAGTCGTTCAAAATTCAATGAATTTAATATATAAGCGACTGGCCAAATTTCCGAAATTTTAAAAGTAATATGTAGACGGTTGCAATTATTCCTTTATTTCGTCATTAAAAATAATTTTTATCGATAAAGCCAACTTCAACTGTAATGGCTAAAATATATCTAGGCGATTTGTGATAATTGAAAATTACGATATATTACTTTAGTCGTTCAAAATTCAATGAATTTAATATATAAGCGACTGGCCAAATTTCCAAAATTTTAAAAGTAATATGTAGACGGTTGCAATTATTTCTTTATTTCGTCATTAAAAATAAATTTTATCGAAAAAGCTAACTTCAAGGGTAATGGCTAAAATATATCTAGTCGATTTGTGATAATTGAAAGTTACGATATATTACTTTAATCGTTCAAAATTCAATGACTAAATGACAAATTCCCGAAATCCTAAAAGTAATATATAGACAGTTAAAATTATTCCTTTACTCCGTAATTAAAAAATAAATTTTATAGAAACAGCTAACTTTAAGTGTAATCGTTACAAAAATATATCTAGTAGATTTGTGATAATTGAAAAATACGATAAATTACTACAATTGTTCAAAATTCAATGGATTCTATAAAAGTAATATGTAGACATTTAAAATTATACCTTTACTCTGCCATTAAAAAATAAATTTTCATAAAAAAAGTTAACCAAGTGTCATGGTAGCCAAAATATATCTTGATTTGAGAAAAATAAAAATTACGATAAATTACTTGAATAGTTCAAAATTCAATGAATTTAATAAAAGTAACACGTATGGGCATTTGAAATTATTCCTTACCTTCGTCATTATAAAATGAATTTTATAGAAAAAAAACTTCTAGTGTAATGGTGGCTAAAATATATCTTAGAAGACACTTGGAAATATAGATAGCAAGAAATATAGATGTTTCCAAATAAAATAAGGCTTGCATGGCACATTGCACTATTACAAAAATGGTAATAATAATTCATCACACAGAGATGAGACAACTGTTTGGGTTGTCATCTGTAAAACCGACTTATATTAAGGCAAAACAGTACAAGTTTAACTTAAATGTTCTGACTGTTGTTCAAAAAATTATTGCAAAAAAATATATTTTAACAAAAGACCTTCAAAATTTTTGCAAATGCTTACTCTTAGAGCAATCAGTTCCTTGGAAACCATCAATGCAATCACATTTTCCCAAATAACAGGAACCTCTCCCCGAACAGTCATTTGGACAAGTGGTGCTCACACCTTGAGCCTCTGTGACGACCAAATTGACAGTATGCGCTAATAATTCGTCATTGTAGACGGCCAGAAACCATCGGCCTGTGTCCAAATATTGCAGCAAACTAACATTAACCATGTTGCTAGAGTCAATTGATCTTTTGTAAATTATGTGAAGATCATCTCTTGGAAGTTCGGTGTCTGGTTTTGGATTCGCCGATGGCGATTCGGTCATCGCATCATCTTCGAATGGATATTCATCTCGCGCACTGCGTTGATTTTCTTGCTCATCATTATGCTCATTAAAAATTTCGATACTGATTCTTTGTGATGAATTTGTATCCCGCTTCCTTAACCTTGAAAAAAAAAACATTTGGTTTAAAAAATATTAAAACATTCATTTAAGAAAAAACAATATAATTGATTACATGCAAAAACAACTTACAAAAGTGAACATAATTATATCTCATGAATGGATGATTACATGCCTACTAACTTTATCAATTACAAGAAAATTTAAAGGGTTTTTAAAAAATGTCTATATTTGAATTTAATACAATTATGAGAATGCATTTTATACAATTATTCTAAATAAAACATTATTACCATATAATTGTTACATTACACCAAAAAATTTAGCATATGACTGTTAATAAACGACTACTTGACAAAAATGACGAAAAGATTTAGCACAACATTTAGTACGATATCAAATTCATATTTAAAATTCTAAATTTTATATTCAAAGTATTTTATAGCTAGACTGATATCGCGACAAAGGTATTATATACGACCTATAATTAAATGACAAAGTTTTCTGACAAAAAAGAATACAAGGTATACTATTTGAATTGTCAAAAATTAGCGAAATATAAGATTATATAAACTTTATGAACATTTCGAAATATGGGCAGTGCTTTATTTTAAGTGTATTAATAATAAAAAAATAAAATAAATGAAATTTTCGTTAATATTTGGTTGTGATTGAATATAAAAATCTCATATCATTGAGTATAATTATCTCATATAAATATAAAACTGAATGTTAAGGTATTGAAATTCTTATCTTCAAAATAACTAAAATACATTACCTACGTTCAAATAGATTTTTTATTTAAGGTTTCATACCTTCCAAAATAATCCGAAGTGAAATGAGACACAAATTTGCACGGCTTTTTTCTGAATTATTATGTAAAAATATTAAAAAGCACAGAAATAGTAAAAGCATCAAATAAAATAGCATGTACGTGTGGGTGTTTTGTTAAATAATCGATCCAATAAAGTTTTCTTAAAAATATAACCTTCGAAAATAATCCAAAATGGAATGAGACACCAAGTTGCGCGGATTATTTTTTTGAATTATTATATAAAAATATGAAAAAACACAGAAAATAATAAAAGCGTCATAGAAAATAATATGTACCATTCGTATTTTGTTAAAAAGATGTTCGATCAAATACGATATATTTTATTAATATTTTTTTTAAAAAACGAAATAAATCTTCAAAGAAATCGCAAGTGAAATGATACACGAATATTTATCTGAATTAACATATAAAAATATTAAAATGTAAAATAAGTAATGATAGCCTTGAACTAAATGATATGTTCCAAAATATCTTTTAAAAAAAAGTGAAATGAGACACGGGGTTTAAACTGTTGAAGTACGGACGAAATTACATTGTGTTGTCTTTTTTCATATTTATTTATTTAATGATATTAATACCAGTCTCAATTGTTTTTACTCATATTTATCATAGGTAGGAACTATAATAACATATTTATTTAGAAAAAAGAAACATATTACAAAACTCATTTTGTCCATATAGTACTAACAAAATAACATATAAGGACATACTGAGATGCTAATTTTCAAAAACGCTGTTCACAAATAAATAGTTTCGTCCTTTTTGGGACATTAGCACATGAATCATGAACACAAAGGGTATGAGTCATACATTTTAACCAATCTTCGCAGGGCTCAGAACGCAAAAAGAGAGTTTTGCAATAAATGTAAGTCTCTTCTTTTTAACTGTAGTCTGTGTTTAGTAATTGCTTCTTGTAGTAGAAGTTAAAATCCAAACACATTTGACAGGTTTTAATTTTTTCTCTTGGTCTTGCTTGTGTAATGAGTATGTCATTTTGGCCGAAATTGAACAAAATATAATAATTAATCAAAATTCCATCCAACTGACGTGATTCCAGTAATACTGACATAAGTTAATTGTGTTAAATTAAGACATTAATCAATATGTCCCCAAAAAAAAACAAGATAAAATACCCTCAAAATAAAATTTTCAGGGTGCGGAACACGTTTGAACTGATAACTGTAAACAATATTGTGACAATGACGCTCAACATCTGACGGATTGTTATTAAGGCTTTCTTAACATTACACCGTCGCGGGCTCGCCCGTAGGTAAGCGGTTAAGAGCGACGGGACTCAGAGGTCCCGGGTTCGATACCCACTTCGAGCAGCTTGTTGTCAGGTAGCAGTTACAAGGATTTTCACTTGGAAATATAGATAGCAATATGTTTCCAAGTGAAAATAGCCCTTGCCCGGCATTGCTGCACCAATAAAAAGTCAGCCTAATTAGATTAATTCTAATAACAAAATCATCAAATATGGAAGGATTAACCATTGGGTTACCATCTAAAAAATTCAAAGTAAGGAGAAGTTTCAGCCCAACAGCTCATAGGACGTGAGGTTCTGATTGCTGTTAAAAATGAAAAAAAAAATTACACCGTCGCGAAAACGTTGATAAAACAAGCCAATTTTTAAATAAAGCATCTGTGTCATTTTGTCTATAATATCTATATCATTTTGCACTTGTGATGCACACATTTATTAGTGTCGACCACGTGTATACACATATGTATAATGATAAATTATAAATTATATATTTATAATAGCATTAAAAGTATGTATAATATTTAAAAACAATAATGTAATTGGAGTCAACTTCAAATATGACATGATCGGTTTGTCATTGTAATTAGCATTTAGAAATGAACTATTCCCCTATATAAAAATATGGAAAAGTATAAAAATAATATTAGCCTTGAATAAAAATAACATGCACAATTCCCATTTAGTTCAATTTTTCTTCACTCGAAGGCTACAAAATCAATGTAACCACTGAGCGTTGTATATTTACCTATGATCAACTCGTCCGCCTTTGATGAATTCGGCGAAATCGTATTGTGTGACGCTAGGGGCGACATTTCGTCGTCCGTAGACGGCAAAATTGGCACCCCAGGGCAGCGTAAAGTTCAGTCGAATGAAAGCCGGCTGTTTATTGCGGAACTCGGAATTCCAGAAGCGATACGGAGGAACGTTCGCAGTATATGGAACATCGAAGTCGCGCAATTCCGTCACAGGCGACGGCCACTGCTCCTGCTGTTGCTGAGACTGCTGTAAGGTCTGTTGTTGACTTTGCTGTTGATGTTGCTGTTGTTGCTGTTGATTGTGTAAAGGCTGTTGGGAACTATGCTGTGTGGTGTGGCCACCAGGCAAACTACCTGGACCCAAACCGTTACCGTGTTCGGCCGTACTGGTAGGCGGCGATTCTGTGGAATAAATTAACACATAATATTTTTTTATTTAATTTATTCTGCAATCTGTTTTACATGAGCATTAACATTAAGCAGAGATTGCTAACAATGATTATCTTACAATATAAACCAGAAGATAGTAGCAACACTCAGCGGCGTGTCTACTAGGTATAATGACTGATTATCTATACTCGAAGTATTTGCTGACATTTTTTTTAAATGTGCAACTATACCCACGAGAGGCGATTTTCACTTGAGGCTATATTTAAGATATATGACCTCAAGTGGAAATTTGACATCAAAGTTGCCTGATGTCAGGCTTGGCGGTAGAGGGAATCGAACCAGCGAACCTGGCCCAACACATGATATGATGCATAAAAATTATACTTATGTAAGAAATAGACACGCTGTGACATTAGAACAAATAAGCTGCGTAAAAAATAAAATGTACGTCACTGAGTTTTTGTATTGAAAATTATCTCGAGGTAAAACATTAGTCAAAAACATTATTATTGTATAAAAAATATATTAGTAATTAGAGCATTCCACATTGGTAACCAACGCGAAGAAAATAATGTGGAAGCTAAACGGGCGGTGAGATGAAAACAAAAAAACTAGGCTTTTGAAATTAAAGATGAAAATATTGAAGAAATAAAATATAGCTTACTAAATATAAGGCTTATAAATTCAGAATGAAATAGATGTGTTAGCGATTTTGAATACTCCTGCCAGAGTAGATCTCAACAGTAATAGTCCTTTATTTGCAACTCACTTCATGAGGTCGCCATATTTGTTTTTGTCATATAATGTAAATAGAAAAAGAGTCGATCTTACTTTGCAGAACTTTGAGGTGGAAACCCTGAACTGATCTTGGCGTAAGACGAATAGTTGTTATTATTGTATAGGTATTATATTAACGTGTAATTTTATTTCAGTTAGCCGAAATTAAAGTATTAATCTATGTGATAAATACAGTGTGAATGATAAAGTGAAGCATCTAACACATATATATATATATATATATATATATATATTATATATATATATATATATATATATATATATATATATATATGATATTCAGTTTTCAGGGCAATACAAATTATAAGGTTAATAAGGTTGATAAAGTATGTGTAACAAAAATGAGTTCTTCAATAAACTAATATGAAAAACATATTAGAAATATATGGTTATGAAGTTTTTTTTTTCTATTTTGCTGCTCTTTAGACTTATTTTTATCTGATCATAGTTCAGATCTATCAGAAAGACTAAAGAAGAATAAGTTAAATAAATTACAAAATTAACTTATTCTGCATTAATCCAATGTTTAGTCAAAGTTAAAAACAGTACTTTCTTAAATATAAATTGGATAGCAATGGATTATTTTTCAGATATGTTGCTGCAGTGTGTTATGAAAAACATACAAAATGAACATAATTAGATCGTAAAAGGATTAGTAAGATGTGTATGATAAAGATCAGCTCACCGACAAACGCTTCAGAGAACATATTGGAAAATATCAAAGAACATTTAATTTCCATTTTCTCTGCGCAAACATTTTAGAGTAATCATAGTTAAAACTAATAGAAAAACAAAAGAATGAATTATAAGAACAAAATGTTAAATGATAAATTTAATTTAAGTATAAACAATTTTGTACGATTAAATTTTGAACGCATAAAAATTCATACGAGTACTTTCTTTAAAATAGTGACAGTATGTATCAACTAAAAATCTTTAATGATTTCAGATATGTTGCTGCAGTTTGTACAATACAAGTTCAAAATGATAAATACGATTAAAGTTTACTGAAAATTTAGTTTTGATATATGACAAAATACAATAGGTAATAATAAATCTATTCATCTGGAATGATATGAACAGAAAGCAAGAAATAATCAAAATGATATAAATTTATTGGATGTTAATAAATTTATACTGAAAAAGTTTTCATTTACAAACCAAACATTGCAAAATACTACCACAAATTTGCAAATTAATTTATGAATTGAATATTGATAAAAAAAATAATAATGATAGGAAGGTATAAAAAACGACGGCAAATATAAAATTCGTCACTGTGACAAAACACTGTATTTTAGTTTGGCACCTGTAATAAATCACTTTTGGATGCTTAAGAAATAAAAATCTTAATTGTAGTTAATGGTAAATCGAAATGGTGTGATAATTGTATAAATCGAAAAATCCATTAGTGAATCGAGTATAGATCAACTAAGATTGTAAAGTAGATCAACTAAGATGAATATTATATAACAACTTAAATTGGTTTAATAAAAAAAAGTCGAAATGATTTCCAACACAATTAAAAAATTATCACTAATTTACAAACAAATTATGACAAATTCGACTGCAAAGTGGCAGAGGTCGAATGACAGAGCAAACAAATTTAATGCGAATATTTATCTTGTTCTAAATAAAAGTGTAATAGCTTCCTCTAATTTCAACAATAAAAATTGTAGAAGACACGTATAAAAATTAGTTGGAGTTAAAAACTGAGCAGCACGTTCTGCTAAAAATTGATTGCAATGCATGCAATTGAAAAAATATCAATTATTGAACCTATTGGCATTATTATATATAAATCAAATGTTTGCTAAGGATATTTAAACTTTGCAAGAAACTGTTGAAAACCACAACGATAAATATAATTGACAAATGATTTTGATAGGTTTTCTAAAAAAAATATTCGTTCAATAAAAAATAATTTTTCAAGATATAATAATGTTACAACAAATTTGCTTTGTAATTGTTTGCAATCTTACAAAAACTGATGATAAGCAAAGGTCATGAACGAGAAAAAGATGCATAAAAAATATTTCACGTAAGATGAATATTATGCTCTAAAGTTAAATGACAAAAAAATCCAGAAGGTAATGCAGAACGATTCTGTAAAAAGTATGGTCTAAAATATACAAATTCAGACACGTCTTGAAGTGTTTTGCCAACCATCAAATTTCATAAACGTGACAGATAATAATTTTTATGAAATTTAAAACAAATAAAAAAACTAGTAGAGCATGATATTGTGCCATAAGGCAAATTGCTGAAACTTCCGGTACAGTAATTAAATATTCACAAAATAAAAATAATTAATAATAAATAAAAGTTTATCGATAAGTAATAACAATCATTGTAAATATTTTAAAAAAATCTAATATACTATAAGTCTGCATTTTCCAAACTGTGGGACGGGCCACCTCTGTGGGGCGCCTGGCTGTTACAGTGGGGAGCGGGTATGACACTGTTCAAAATACTATTTTCGGCAAAAAAACAAAAATTTTGAAATAACTTAAACAAATAAACGAAAAAATAATTATTGGTAATTATTAATTTGTAGTCTGATATCAGTTGAGTTTTTATGAAATAAAATTGTTGAAAATATTTTGGGCGAGCAACAAAATTTTTTGCGTAGGCTTTATTGAATACGTTACTATCTTAATCTATAAGAACGACTATCTTAATCTATAGAAACAAACACACCATCGACACAAGCAATATGCATTTTGAATCACTCTAATCGGATGCAATCATTAAGTCTAATTCTTCGTTATAGTTTGTGATTATATAATTTACCTTCCGTGGGAATTTGTGTAGATGCCGAATCTTGCGTCATCTGGTCATGTGTGACCGATTTTACGTCTTGTACTAGTATGCAGTTGGATGGATCGATAGAGGGCTTCATGGAACTCACAGCTGTAGAAAAATGATTCAATAGATTAATAGGATTACAAAACATATTCAAATTACTAGGCCTTATAGCATTATTTACAAATAATCAATTAAAAAAATATATAGTTATCAAATAAATATAAAATATATCATTCTATATATAAAAATACAATAAATATTAATTTGATCACATAATCATGTAGAGTAAAATATTTCCCTATTAATACAGGGTAGAGAAAGGCAACAAGATATAAAATAATTTTGAATAATTTTATTGTAAAAGCAAAACCCATGATATAACAACATATAGCACATCTCAAACAAACAACTATCAGACTATGGTCCGAAAACTACCACCTAATTTATCATTGTAGGAATTGTAGTTCAAAACATTGTTACCTGGACCATTTTAGCCCATAAGCAGGGTGATATAGGACGGCCAGGAGACAAACAGGTAAAATGTTTTATTTTCAATTTTGAAAGGATTTTGCGAAATAATAGCTATATTATACAGCTAATGCAAAATATAAATTTTATGGTTACAGTTTCTACAGAGACAACACTAGATATAACCTTCATCTTGTATTTTGTTAGAAATGTTCATCAGCGGAGTTAGAATAACCATTTATTTAACTTATCTCTTTTTCAACTTAATTTGCTACTTTATTTACTATTTTTTATTGTTTGCACCTTTTTCAGAGCAAAGGTTCAGTTGGTCCTTTTTATCCCACCTGCGTGAAAGTTTTTATATAAAACAGACTTTTGAATCTAACTCAAAATTAGCAATACATTTTACAAAACAATTAGAAAACGTATACTTAAAAATTTCATTAAGATCTCGTAAACTAAATAACAGTGCTCACTAATAAAAAACTAACAACGAAATAAAATACTATGGATCTTCAAACATTGACGTTTATTTCTTGAAAGAAACGTCGTAAAAAACAAGGTGATGACTGGTTATACTAAATTTTTCCTCTACTTTCAAATACTAATGTTCAAAAATTCTTTACTTGTATTTTGAGATATCGGTGTTACACACTTTTTAATCACGGACCTTTTTTTAAGTCTGGATCTACCCTATATATTATATGGTATCGTATAATATATTACTTTATAGATCAAATCAAATTAAGTAATAACTGAAGTGATAAAACACATCGCATAACACTGAAAGTAACATATTGCAACCATAAGTAAATTTAAAAATGTATTAAGCACCAATCGATAATAATAATAAACATAATATATATATAAAGGTATAACAATACGAAATCCGTACATTTAAAAGAAAAGACAAATAAAACAGCATCATGATCATGACTACTACGAAAAGAATAAATTAAAAAAAATGAAATCAGATAAGATTATAATGCAATACCATATATCACATACAGGTAACGCCCGCATAACACGGTACTTCTATAACACGGATTCGCTCTAACACGGTTTAGGAATTGAGACTGTCCTCCTCATAACACGGTACTTTAAAAACGCTATAAGAGCAAAACCCTAATAAAATAAGAATTATAGTAAATCCTATGAAAATCAAACTTTAATCTAAAATTAGTAAAATCGCCGTACAATATCTCAAATATGATGAAAATAGTGCAAAAGATAAGTAATGTGATATTTATTTTCCGAACAATATGATTCATATATCTTAAACACAGATCTTTTAAATAAAATAAGCATTAAATGTTAATAAAGATAACTTTTCATATGTAAAATATATAAATATCATTTTTCTCAAAGGAAGTAATCGCAAATATAATTTTTTTTTTGCAAAAAACGAATCTGGAGGTAGTACAGAAAAGTGCTCAGAGGATGAGGATATCTTGATGAGGAAAAAAGAGAAAGAGAGCGAGATAGGGTAAATTCTGGCATTCATAATTCAGAAAAAAATGAGAAATAAGAAAAACACTATTATAATTAAATAATATTGATTTTGTTTGATGTAGATGATAATAATCTTGATGAAATAACTTGATCAAACGACCCATAAAAATGATAATAACTTTATTCTTAATTTATCAACACATTAAAAATGTGGAACAAAAATTGAATTTAATCCAAATCAATTAGACGTGTTATAAGTTTTTGATAACAAGGCTGATGCAATAAATGAACAAACAAACGGAATTTTCCAGGGTCAAAATAAATGCCTTATTTAGATTATGAGTTATGTTTTTCAAAAATATTTTGAGAATTCCTGACAAATACAAATAATTGATTTTTTGAAAATTTTGATCTTTGAAAATATTGTTTGTAAATTTTGTAAAAAAAAATCATTTTATTATCAAGATAATAGGAATCTCATCAGGAGCGTAACAAGCGCGGTATCAGCCGTATCAAAAATACGGGTCCCCCGAGCCAGAGGGGCCCCCAACGTCGATAAGCAAACATTAATAATAAAAAAAATCACAAAAGCGAATTAATCATGAAAACTATGTTCAATGAAATTTAAGGTCGTTGAAAAAGTACGCAAGGAATGTAAGATAATTATTTCAAAGAGTTTTATTTTGTCCGTAAAAATTAGTAAAATCCAACGAATTTTTGTTTTATTTCAGTAATAACACACGTTATGAAAACTTTCTTCCAGTGTATCGAATGTAAAAATATAATTTTAAAAGGTTGTGCCACTAATTGCTTTCCACATATCTTTAATATTTTTAAAGCTCTATAACATGCAAATAATGACTAATAGAAAACTAGCATTTCTTGAACAGATTGTGGGAATTAAAAAATCAAAATTAGTTTAGTAGTTGTTTAAATTAGCAAAGAAGTGTAAAGACTGTTTTAAAAACAAAAGATAAAGTAAAACAAAAGATAAAGTAAATGTCTCGTAATCTTATTTCAAACTCAACATGTACTATAGCTAATCAAACATATTAGTTTCTCAAACTAAACAAAGATTTCAGAGACTTTGACTCGATTAGTATGTTCGAAATATTAGAACTGGAGCCATTTAGCAAAACACCTGTATCGACGAAACTTTCGTCTGAATATAGTAAAATCATATTTGTTACTTTTTATAACAAATTGTAAACTAAGCTCTTAAAATATGTTGAAAATATGAAATTCAGTATTTATTTATATTGCTGACAAAATTCAATAGTCTTGAATACAATTTCCCGAGGTATTAACAGCATGCTCTTATTTGTGACCAATTGCCACCGCAAACGCTAAAGAAGATTTTCAAAAATAAAACTGCTAAAAAATTAGCGAATTATTTGTAATCTATGGAACTTTGCTAGTATTTCCCGATTAGTGTAAATAATATCAACCTAATCCATAAATATTCAGATTTATTCCAAATTCGCAGGCTCAAAACATTTTAGTAATTATGATGGTTATTATCATGGAAAGTTTTATCAAAATCAATTTTTTTTTCAACGACTAATTATGTAAATGCGGTCCGGTCGATATATCCGAACAATTTTGGATTTTGAAATGAGGACGATAATTTTAGTACTCTTCTCCCAATTTGAAGAAAACGGCTCGGCCTATCATTGAAAAATCAAATATTTTCTAGCAAAAACATTCTCTGGCAAACTTTTTTTTCGGGTAGTTAAATACCTCAATGATAAAGCTGTCAGTCCATCATTGTTCATAGAAGCAGAAACTTTAGAAAAAGTCTATAAATGATTTAATAAATGTGTATATTGAATTTGAATTGTTTGTAGAAATCTTGCGGAAGGAATAGATAAATATTTATGATAAATGAAAATTTCTTTTAGTTTTATAATTTTTTGTGAGAAAACTCTGCCCTACCTGAGGGGAGGCCCAAAAAAAATTTGATACGGGGCCCCGCCAATGCACGCTACGCCCCTGAATCTCATGTTAAGAAAGAGTTCAATAAAAATAATTACGTTTGAAAAAAGGAGATAAAACGTTTAAAATCGCTTATTAACTTCCCGAAGGAGAAGTTTATGTTTTCATCAAAAAATCCGAATCGCTAATTTTATGTTTTCTCGACGTTTCGAGCCATTCTGAATCGAATGAGACCAAATTTGGAAAAAGTATGTGTGTGTGTGTGTGTGTGAACAGATTTTTTGCCGTAAATCGACGTTTTCTCCAAAACGGTTGGACCGATTTCAAAAATTTAAAAGCCATTTGATGTATCTCGATGAGGACTATCGTCTCTGAGTTTTGTGCGGCGATCGGCCGAGCCGTTTCTTTGTAAATTGCAGAAAAGTGAAAAATTTTTCGTCCACGTTTTAGCCCGCAATTCTGAATCGATTCTGAAAATTCAAAAACCGTTCGATAGATATTGGTTGGAAATCGTGCTGATTAGTTTTGGTAAAGATCGGCCGGGCCGTTTTCTTGTAATAAAGTTTTAAAAAAAAAAATTTTGACGATTTTATGATTATTTTTTTGACGAAAGATACCATAGTTTTCTAGGTCATACAAAAATATTACGGCCCTACGACAACTGGTTCAGCTTTAAAAATTCGTCAAAGTTTGCAAAAATCAGTATGGTCTTTTTGGCATTTGTCAAAATTAGACTTTTGATCGACGTTTTCTCAAAAACGCCTGAACCGATTTTAGAAATTTAAAAGCCATTTGATGTATTTCGGTGAGGACTATCGTTTGTCAGTTTTGTGCAACAATCTGCCAAGCCGTTTCTTCGTAATTTGAAAATAGGTGTTGAACTTTTCGTCCACATTTAAGCTCATCCTACCGAACCGATTTTAAAAAACCAAAAATTGTTCGAAAGATATTAGTTGGGAATGATGCTGATTAATTTTAGGTGAAAATCTACCGAGCCGTTTTCTTGTAATTAACTGTTGAAAAAAGGTGTTAAATTTTCGTCCACATTTAAGCTCATCCTACCGAACCGATTTTAAAAAATCAAAAACTGTTCGAAAGATATCATTTGGGAATGATGCTGATTAATTTTAGGTGAAAATCTACCGAGCCGTTTTCTTGTAATTAACTGTTGAAAAAAAGTGTTAAATTTTCGTCCACATTTAAGCTCATCCTACCGAACCGATTTTAAAAAATCAAACACTGTTCGAAAGATATCATTTGGGAATGATGCTGATTAATTTTAGGTGAAAATCTACCGAGCCGTTTTCTTGTAATTAACTGTTGAAAAAAAGTGTTAAATTTTCGTCCACATTTAAGCTCATCCTACCGAACCGATTTTGAAAAATCAAAAACTGTTCGAAAGATATCATTTGGGAATGATGCTGATTAATTTTAGGTGAAAATCTACCGAGCCGTTTTCTTGTAATTAAATGTTGAAAAAAAGTGTTAAATTTTCGTCCACATTTAAGCTCATCCTACCGAACCGATTTTGAAAAATCAAAAACTGTTCGAAAGATATTAGATGGGAATGGTACTGATTAATTTTAGGTGAAAATCTACTGAGCCGTTTTCTTGTAATTAACTGTTAAAAAAATTTAAGCCGTTTTTCATGGAACTTTTTTTGGCGATATACATCATGGTCTTACAGAACTTACTGTAATATTTAGTTCAATTTTAAAAATTCGTCAAACTTTGCTAAAATTATTATCGTTTTTTTAAGTAGGATTAATGAAGTATATTATCTACACATTTTTTTGATCAAGTCGATTATTTACACATATCGGGAAGTTCATGTAATTTGCCTCAAGGCTAAATGCCAAACCAACTAGTTTGATGTATATAATATGTGAGCTTTCAATACCTCATATTATTAACATCTTTATAAAATATATTATAATTGCGCATATGGTACAATGATCATTTTTGACCATAAAAAAATGCATTTTTTCTCTGTATTTCTGAAATCCCTATGTCTATACTCTGAAACCAATAATTGCTTCACACCGTCAACACAAGTAAAATGTTTATCGAATCAATCAAATTGAACTAATCTCCAACAACCATTTTTACCAAAACTAATCAGGACGTGTCAACAGGAATGTTTTAAAGTCATTATTTTATTGACATACTAATTCAATATAGTGTAATAAAACCGAGCTTTTTATAAAGATTTTCATAAAGAAATACATAAGTTTAGATCCAAAATCCATATTCATATAATGTAAAAAATATGCAACTGCATTTGTAATTCAAAAAAATCGTATTAACTCAACACTAATTATTAAAATTATACTAAAAATAAGGTATGCCAAAATTGTAACTAAATCATTAAAATACTGTGAATCAATCGCATAAAAGCTTGGGATATTCAGAAAACAATCTTTTTTATTTAAATTAGTAACATGCTAATACAGTAACGTAGTAATAATATCAACATCAATTTAGAGAGTGTTTAGTATTGAAAATGCCAGAAGTACGAAATAAAACATAACTTAGTGTAATCTCAATAAAATGATAGAAAATCAAAGAGTTAGAATCAGTAATATATTATAATTATAAGACAAGTTTTGTTTAACATACAAAAAAGTTAAGTCTAAGTGACATATATTAATTGGTAATTATAAAATTTAAATGTTTAGAATTGCACAAAAACGCTTGGATTGTTACGAGGTGATCTTTTATTTCTGGGAAATATATTTTTATGGCATGTTCTTTTTTTGACACAACTAAGAAACTTCATTTACAATAATAAAAATTGAACAATATAAGTTAAAAATTAATTGTCCGCAGTATTTAAACTGGCATGTAAAACATACATATAATAAGTAGTTCAGTTCACAAATGACAAATGTGTATAATCGTTTACAAATGAGTACTTGATGGCTAAAATACTGTTGCAATAAATACTTCGAATCAATTTAAAGTAATTTTTAATTTTTTTATTTAAATTTGATTGAATTTAAACGCAATTGCCTGCATTACAATGAGTGAGTGATAAAATACGATGAATATAAAAAAGTAAAATCCAAATAAAAAAATAATTATTAAACTAGCTGTAAGTGGAATTCTGTCTTAAGGCAATTAAGGCATCGTGCCTTAAGACAAATTGCTGGTACTTCCCGTACCAAAAATTATTATTTTTTTAAAAACGATTAACATTTTTGAAAAAAATTGAAAAAATAAGATTTTTGAGAGACTATAAATTGGACAAAAAATTACTTTTTTTTGAAAAAAAAAATAATAATTTTTTTTGGAAGATGTGGAAGATCTGAATTTTCTTTTCAAAGCAATCGTACTGCTTTAACTGCATAGAAACAAAACATAAAGCGCGTAAGCTCCGCGTCGCTGTCTAACGCATAAGCATTGGTATGGAACCCATAGAAATGTTAACAAAATGTATACTTATTATTAAAATCTCTATAAAATATCTGATAATTTGATGTGCATATGTCTAATGATCATTTTTGACCGCCAAATGGCTCATTTTTTTTTACTTTTTTCTCCATATCTCCGAAACCGCTAGACCTACCTTCATGAAAATTTTATCAATTCTTCATCTTGTCAATACAAGTGAAATGTTTTTTGAATTATTCAAATCGGACGCTCCGTTCTCTTAAAAACTGAGTTACCGTTTTCGGCACTTTTTGCCCCGTATTTTCGGAACGGCTAGACCTGCCTTCGCCAAAAACTAATCAGCACGTCTCCTTATCAATACGAATCGAATGTTTTTTGAATTATTCAAATTGCTTCATCCGTGATCCCGAAATCGTGGACGAAAATTTGTATCCGAACACACATACACACACACACATACATCATTTTTTTCTAAGGTATGCCAAAATATTCAGAAATCTCTGAAACGTAAATATATATAAAAATTTTCGTTTTCATTTTTTTGCGATTACTATCACTTACCCTACGGGAAGTTAAATAGTTCAAAGCAACAATATGCTGTTACAACAAATACGACTAATGATTTAAAAATAAATTCTTTTTCAATTATGTGTCGTTAAATTTATTTAATTACCTGCAAAATAAGCCAGCATTGCAGTAAGTGCTACACTGAGTAATATCAAGACAATGCTGAAACATTTCCATGAGCAGCGGTGCCGACATCGTTTGTCGATGTGAAACCTGGACGGCGAGTATGGGGAGTAGTGCGCACCATGGGCGCCTGTGTGCGCTGCCCTTAGCGGGAACACCGGCACCAGCGAGGGACAGTGCTGGCTGGACGACAGCGTACTGCTATTCTGGCCGGGAATGCCTTGTCCAACACCACCCGACAATTGGGAATTCAATCTGTAGAAAAAAATAAATATTTTTAGCATGATTTCATTAAAAATTGAAATTGTAACCTAGTATCACTGGGTACGGTTGTGCCACTCTTTTCTGAATCAGCAATAATTTTGTTATATTAGCAACTAGCTAGGAGAAATGTAAATTAAATTGTAATTTGTCTACGTGGATATAGAAAAATTCTGTTCTTAAATACGAAAGATTAATCATAATATCAAATCATACGAGTAAAGGGCGAGTGTCACAACCGTATCTGGAGGCTATAGAAATTAGGGTTTGTCTGTTTTCAAAAACCGGTTTTTTGGCGAAAATTATGGAATTCGAAAACCGGTTTCTTAGTGAAAAAAGTCAGTTTTTGCTGTATAATTAGAAAATGACAAATATAAAAGATAGATGAAAGCGTTTTGATTCTTGAAATCATATCGGTCCAATAGCATTTAATGTCTTATCAGTCTGCAATGATTCCCAGAAAGTTTTTGTATATATTAATTTAGATTTTTATACCAGTATATATATTAATTTAAATCAGAGTGACCACTTCTTGGAGAAGTAATTTCCTTTACTCAAACTTAAAAAAAAGAGTTTTAAACCCTTAAAACCACAAATTGAACAACAAAAAACTTAGAGTTATAATATCAGGCTTTAAAAACATTTAAGCATAATTTGGTCGCAAGTATGAGAATATTTAAAACGTATGTATCACAGTATGTATCAACATGTATCTAATATATATTTATTTTTTTAATTTAATGAATGTTTTTTATTTAAAAATGTATTATTTTTATTTATTCAAAAACTTTTCTTTTATTCTTATATGTGAAAATGATGCATGAATAACGAATAATTATTTTCAAAGTTATATTTATTCAAGATAAACTATTATTTTTTAGTTCTACTAATTAAAATAAAAAAAAATTTATTACTATCTATGAAATTGAACAATAAATAAATTCAGTCAAATACGGTTCTAAATTACATTAAATATTCAGATAAATTACACAATATTCGAGCAAAAATTTATTTTCTATATAAAATTCGAAAACCGGTTAAAACCGGTTTTTTAGTAAAATTAAAATTCGAAAACCGGTTTTCGAAAATGTCGGTTTTTGTATAAACCCTAATAGAAATAGGTTGAAAAACAATGTGAATAAACATTTTTATATTTATAACAATTTTTATTGTCAAGAATATTTAACACATAATATAATACTATATAACAAAACATAATTTTTCAAACAAAGTTAACAAAAAAATCTATTTGAAATCCTTTTTTACATTGAATTTTCCTTTCGTACTGAAATAAATTCCTCTCGTCGGTATCACTGAAATAAATTACTTCCGCAAAAAGCTACTTGCTGGTAACAAACCACTAACGTACAGAAAAATAAAAAACAAAGTATCTAATCTATCTGTATAAAAAGCAGTTATTAATAAAATAAATCAAACAAAAAAACGTTTTTACTCTTTAAAAGCAATGCAGTCAACAGCTCATGTTAATATAGGGCACTGATAATTCAGTAATGGAAACTTATTCGAACAAATATACTTCATATTTATCCCTTCGGGCTCTATCTCAAATACAGTAATGTTCAGCTGTTCTGACGACTGTCACCGTACCCTGGCACAATCGTACCCAGTCTCCAATAATGCTATCAAAGCATAAAAATTATTATGAATATCAAGCCAAATACATAAATTCATAAACCGCAAAAATTTTATCAAATCAAAAAAATTGCAAAATCATCGGATTTATAAAAATAAATCAAATTTTTTATATCTACTTGATATCCAATAACATCACACATGATTATAAATCAAATTTTTTATTTAAATCACTTGATATCCAAAAAATATCACACATGAGTACAAGTGTAAGAAAACGGAGAGATTGCTAAAGTAGTATTGTAAAAGCTGTTTTAGTAAGTTTTTTAAGTGGACATTTAATGTTTAAGACAAAACCACAAAATTGCCTCGTTTAATCAGTCAAAAAATTCACCGTCATAATAAATATCAAGTGTTGAAAAATATACAATAATCTTGAGTAAAATTGACAAACATTCAAAATCAGTATTATAAACCTTATATTTTATTAAAAAGTTTTACCACGTTCATCTTTTATAAATAAAAGAATTGAATAATATGGAGTGAACATGTAATATCATGCCATCTATATATTCAATGCGATCCAGAATTATGTGATATTTATAAATTACATGCATTACATAATTAGTATTTTAATTGTGCATAATTATTTAATTCCATTCATAATGATTTCATTTCACAACAATTTTTTAATCAGAAGAATAAAATCGATGGAAATGTAATTAACAAAATATAATATATACGCATTTTTACGAAATTCATAATAATCTAGTTTCATTACTTCATCTAGAAACATCTAGTTGCATATTATCAAAAAGATAAAGAAAAATTGCATACGAAAAATACAAAATACGATCGAATAGGTTTCAGCATTTTAGAAAAACATACACTCACAGAATACGATAATGGATTTATGAAAAATAATTGAGAAAAAATGTGAAAACACAACATTAAAAAAAAATTATAAGATCATTTTTGTAGTCAAAATTTATTATACCAGCAAAAAATGTGGGATAAAAACAATTGCTAAAAAGGCGAAAGAGCTTTTACGTATTATAGTATATAAGTTTTGTACTATAAATAAAATTAATGAAATAAATTTTGCTGCAGTTAGTAAAAAATATTCTATCAATATATACATTGAGTCCTCAAAGTAACGTTACATTTTTTTATGTGCCAATTAAGAAAAAATGTGAATACACAACATAAAAAAAATATAATATCATTTTTGTAGTCAAAATTTATTATACCAGCAAAAAATTTGGGATAAAAACAATTGCTAAAAAGGCGAAAGAGCTTTTACGTATCATGTACAAAATTATAGCATATAAGTTTTGTACTATAAACAAAATTAATGAAATAAATTTTGTTGCAGTTTAATCACAAAATTATGAGTTAGTAAAAAATATTCTATCAATATATACATTGAGCCTTCAAAGTAACGTTACATTTACTTATGTACCAATTTATTTAATTAACTTATAATATTTAATTCACCCAATATTTCTAAACTTAAAATAAGTAAAAATACGAGACAATACAAAAAATAATTTAATAGAAACACGTATCATGTTGAAGCATGTCCAAAAAATACAACAGCTTGCTTTTCTGCTGTCAAAATATGCTCGTAATGATATATTACATCGGTTTTTTACCCAAAAAACATATAAAGCGTAGCAAAAAGTAAGTAAGTAAAATTTTCGATACCTCATTATCATCGATCAAAGTTATAGAAAAAAACAGGCACTAAAACCAAACTGGCACATCGGCATAAAAATAATATATTGAAATAAGTCTAAAAATAAGAAAAGCTTTTCATTGATGGTTTCTATAGAATCAAGTAAACAGTAAAGTAAAAAGAAACTAGTGACGAAGAAAAAAACCTTAAGGCAAATTGCTGGAACTTTCCGTACAGTAATTAAATATTCGTGAAATAAAAATAACCAATCATCAATGAAAACACATGAATGAGTAATAACAATTGTTTTAAAATAATTCGTATTAATACTGTTAATTTCCTCTACTTATTTTATCGATCTAATATAAAAATCATTCAAATCGGTTGATTCGTGCTCCTGATATCGTGGACGAAAGATTGTATTCGAACATACACACATACCACATATATCAACTTTTTTCAAAGGTGAGCTAAAATGTACATAAACTTCTGAAACGTAAAAATATGCAAAAGTTTCATGTTCGATTTTTTGCGATATCAATTATTTGCCACACGGCAAGTTAACAAGTCGGAATAATGTTTTCCAATATTTGTAGAAGGCCAAGAAATATACTATCTTATTAAATTAAAATCGAAACTTTTTTTAATTTAACCATATTATACATAGCAAAATTATATTTAAAATAGCAGAAAATTGTGAGAAACCAAACAAATAATTATTGTATTCTGATTTCACAATAATTTATCCCTAGAATTTATTAGCTTCATTACAGTTGGTATAGATGTCGTAAAAAAACAATGATAAAATTCAAATTCTTTATATATAATATTTTAATAATAACAACAATGAAATTGGCAAAGAATGCAAATAAATGCAAAAAATTAACAGAAATATTGAATATATTTTATCTTAAATAAATACGAAACTAAAACGACTATCATAAAAAATATGTGCAAGTCGTAATATTCGAGTTATCGTGCAAAAGAAAACTGTTAAAATTATAAGATTATATCAGACGCATATAATATTTATAATATTGATATATTATACATGCCTCTGTGTAACATTCAAATTTATAAAATCAATAATAAAAAAAATTTAAAATAACAGATCGCCGGTATATTCCACAGAATTCTAGTAACTTTTTAGATAAAAAAGTTTTGATGTTTCTTAAAATCCTTACAGTTCGGCTAAAGTTATAAACTAAGGAAAATTTTAGTATTTTCAAAATCAATATATAATACTATTTTATAAATAGAATAACACTATGTACATGTTTATTCTTGTACACTAAAGATTGTTCTAAAAGAAACTTGAAACATTTATAAAATTAATTTAAAAAATTGTAAAAATAACGTAGCTATCCTTTTTTAATAACTTGATGGATACCTTTATAAAAAAACTTTTTTAAATAAAAGTCGCAAAGAACCCACAAAAATTAGTCCAAATCAAATTACTTATCGAATGTTACTGGTGCACAATATAATTGTTTACCAATGATTTAAAATCAAAATTTAAATGTTAGAGAATAATTGTACATATTATAAAATATTTTTAAGAGAAAATACAGGACCAAAATTATTGACAGTGCCAAAAGTTTATTGGATGTTATATAATAAAATTTTAGAAAATCAGAAGCTCACGTGGAAGTTAAAAAGAAGAATACAAGGTTATCAAATAAATTAAGTGCTAAGTATTTATGAATATTAAATATCATCTCAA